CAAAAAATGTTCGAACTTTGAAACATTACTTACCTTTTAGAAATTGTTTACGATTTCCAGGAATTGTTCATATAAAATCAGGAAGTATTGAGTTCTGGCACCATAGTTAGTTCTTAGACGTTAGCGCTGCGAAGCAGTCACTTACAATCGTCAGCTGCCATGGTTATCAGCAGCACTTCATTACCCCCCCCCCCTGCTTTTTCGTGAATTTTTCCTGTTGCGCTACGGTACCATCGGGAGCTTACGCAATAGGCCGGCCAGTCATATGTGTATCCTGTGCGAAGGAGCATCCATTTGCCGCAAAGTGGGGCATATAGGAGCTCGCAAGTTTCTATGTTCGATCTGGAAGTTCACCGTGTCTACTGCTGCCCTGGGGAATGATTTGTTTGATCCTGGGTCTTCGCAGGGTGAAAGATAGCTGATTATCGTACCCATTTCCTATTTGGCGCCCTTAGCGCCCATCGAAGGCTATTTTACAAACCGACGCACTTCCCCCGGCTTGGGCTTGGCCCATTTATGCTTGTTTACGATTCTTCAAAGTTCAAAAAAAATAGGTGTATGATGTATTCCATATCCGAACATGTCGGCTCAATTCTAACCAAAAGACCAACTGGGACAGCTCACGTTATGTGACATACTACAGTTTTTCTTTGTTTTGTCTCAACTTGTAACACTACAAAGATCACTATAGTTTTTTTTTTCTGTTTTCTTATGCCGTTTCTTCATGATTTTACCTGGTTTTTTATTTTCTCTTTCACTTCCCTATTTTTTTTAAAATGCATGAACGTTTTTAAATTTGCATGAACTTTTTTCAAATCACTGATCTTTTTTTGGTTCCTTGCTAAATTTCCAGTGAAACTTTTTTAAATCCTTGAACTTTTTTTTGTTTTTTGCAACTCTTTTAGTGACCCTATTTTTCAAAATCGCAAACTTTTCTCAAATCTATGAACTTTTTGTCAAAATCGATGAAGTTTTTTAAAATTTTCATTTTTTCAAAATTGTGAAAAATTGCAAATCTGAGATTTGTTTTTTTATAATCCTTGTTTTTTTTCTCAAAGTTGATGACCTTTTTTCAAATTCTCTTTTTTTTTTGAAAATTGATGAACTTTTTTCAAATCCATGATTTTTTTGAATCTTTAAACTTTTTCCAAATTCAAGTACAAAATTGAAAATTCACGAACTTTTTAAATTTTGTGAACATTTTTTCAAATTGGTGAACTATTTTCAAATTCATGAACTTTTTACGTGGTTGCAAGAGAAAAAATTGCTGGATGGACTGAATGATTAGTTCGCAAGGTCAAATCGAGAGCGAGAGGAGCGGTTGAGCGAGCTATATTGACCATGGCCCACTACGGAGCGCGTGAGCGGCAACTAGTCCTTGCGGCGCTTAAGAGCATTTTTAGCAGATCTGGTAAATGTCCATCCCGCCAATACCGTTTAAGGGCGCATGCAAAACTTTTTTACAGTAGCGCGAACCCTCCTACGGAACTGATCCTGTAACCCGTCCCGCAAATATTTTGCTAGACATATTTACGGGGTCTGTTCCGCGCCAGAGGGCTCGCAGTACCGCAAATCTTGTATAGCTTCGTAAATTAGAGGATTCAACAAATAAAAAAGAATGAAATCATATTATAAATTAAACATATGAATATAAATGGTCTGAAAAGCAATTCAAAATACCACTATCGTTTTCATTACATCAAATGTTTAAATTTGAATAATTATTACAACACCAAATTGTTCAAATCACACAAAAATACATGAATAAAATTGGGATTCTATCTCCCCACATAGAGTTGCCAACGATGCTCAATAAGTTTAAGCTTGAGTTGGTTGTGTGAATCACGGTCCTCGATCTTCCAGTAGGTCTTAAGAAATGTAGTGATCTCATCTATGTCCCTGGCAGGCTTCACACGGCTACCAACATTGTCATAATTGTACTCCAAGTCCAGATCCCTCTCATCCTCGATGATCATATTGTGTAAAATTACACAACCAGTCATGATGTTTTTGAGGGATTTTTTATCCAGAAGCGAGAAGGACCTCGAACAATGGCAAACCGAGCTTGCCACACACCAAATGCCCTATTAATATCCTTTCGACAAAATTTTTGTGTTTCTTAATTTTGGGGTCACTAATGCTCTTCACAAATGTTGACAAGGAAGGATAGATACCGTCAGCAAGATAGTACCCCATGGTATACTCATGGCCGTTGACGGTATAGTTGCAAGCCGGAGCAAATCTGACAGCCCTTCCTTCATCCCCGCCTGCCGAAGCAAATCCGACAACCCTTTCTTCTTCCCTGTCGACTAAAGCAAATTCGCCAGCCGTTTCTTCTTCCCCGCCGGCCGAAATCCCGTCCTCCGGCGCTCGTGGGCGACCCCGACTAATTCCGAGGCTCACCAACGCTGGAACCAACCGGATCCGCCGGCTACAAGGCCACGCGCCAAGCTCCGGGGATCCATGGCGCCGGTGGTGGCAGCGAGCCCGCAAACACAAATTGGCACCCCCGCACTCAAACTTGGTGGAATGGATACGGCGCGGGGCAGCGAGAACCGGCGGGGATGTGTGGTGGCGGCGGCGGAGAGTGGAGGCGGGAACGGAAGCAAGCGGAAAGAAGTTCGTGCCAAGGGAAAGGGGAGCCGACAAAAACGAGGGGAATCCCATAGATATGAAGAAAATGGACCCACATATCTAAGACAAAAAAAATCAGGATGGTCAAATTTGCGGGATCTATTCGGGCCGGCAAAACAGCCTCCACCCCGTAAACCGACAGCTATTTTGTCGGATGTCCTGGTTTGCGAGATTTGTGGCGCCAACCACAAGCTCTCCTTACCCGGGTCCTTGTGTATAGACCGCTGATGTGTCAGGACCAGCCCTGGACACAACCTCAACTTGGATGCAAACTTGGAGGCTTACTTTTCAAGGAAAACGAGTCTGTCTAGTATACGAAGAGTTTAATTCCCTGGTTATAACTTCCTTACCCGGTATAAGCAGCGATGTATGCTCGGGTCGAGTTGTATTGTGCTTTTTACGTGTTGCCTTGACCATCTGCACCGGGTGTTTGCGCGAACCGTCTACAACGGATCTAGTCGGTAACTTTGTAAGGAGGAATTCGATCCAAAAGAGATGGACGTCGTGGCAGAACCTTCGAAGATCTACTTACCTGCTAGACCTCGTGAGTTTTGGATATGAAAGCGACGGGGTTAGCAGCCGCGGCCTGGTAGTACCGGACACCTGGGTGCACAACGACTCGCTCCCTGTCGGGACCGTCGCGATTCTCTGCGTCGACGGCTCTGTGGTGACCAGGAAAGCCTGCGACGTCAACGTCGTCGACAGAAGCTACTTCTACCCCGGCGAGGTCGTCGGATCCGCGTCGGACCTCGGCGGTCAAATCGGCGTCGTCACCAACGTCACCGTAGCGGTCGACCTGATCGAGCGCACCGTCCGCGGCGGCGAGCCGGCGAAGATCGTCAAGGGTGTGCCACCATCTCGTCTGCGGCGCGTTAAAGGACTCAGCCTGGGCGACTATGTCGTATCCGGGCCGTGGCTTGGCCGGGTCGTCGAGGTGTCCACTGATGTCTACGTGTTGTTCGACGATGGCGCCATGTGTAAGGTCCCCGACGCAGAGTCCAAGATGCTACGATCAGTGGCCAAGGCCGACGCCCTTTACCGCCCTGAGATGAATAGCCCTTTTTACCCGGGGCAGCGGGTGACCGGCGACCCATGTGCCGTCTTCAAGCCCTCCCGGTGGCTCAACGGCCATTGGAGGCCGGAGCGTAGAGCAGGCACCGTCACCAAGCTCGAGATGTCCGGCGCCCTCGTCCACTGGATCGCGTCGGCGCACGGCGGCACCGACCAACAGCTTGTTCAAGAGTCTGCTCCCCCGGCCTATCAGAACCCTGGCAATCTGACCTTCTTTGGCTCCGCGTCTGCCTGCACCTGGGGCGTAGCCGACACGTGCTTCCTTCGAAAAACCAGTGACGACTCACTTCCCGCCGCCGGCGAAACCAACAAGGGTGCTGGCGATGTGGCCTGTGCTCATGATGGCAATCACCAGGAGGATCAACCCGTCGCATGTTCAGACGACGAATGTGAGTATGACAGTGACACGACAGAAGAAGATGAGCGCGAATCACCAAGCACAACTACAGTCCCACAAAGCAGCAGCAGGAGATGAGGTTTTACCGGAAGCAGCTAAGGAAGGATTACTTCGATGGGCACAGGAGGACGCGATGCCGGGACGTCGGGAGGTACGTGGAGTTGGACCAGCTGCCCATGAGCGTTGCTAGCACCCGCAGCACCGTCGACGTGTTGTGGCAGGACGGCACACGGCAGCTCGGTGCACCGTCGACATCCCTCGTCCCCTTCAACATCTTGAACGAGCAAGAGTTCCTCCCAGGCCAGTTTGTTGTCGACAACGCCTTTCCCGCGGCAAATGCCCCTGCTGATGCTGCCATCGGTGTTACCGGCGACGATGACGGCGCAGGTGCTTCTGCGACGAGGCGTGTGGGCTTCGTGACAAGCCTGGATTGCAAGGACCAGATGGTGCACGTCTCGTGGTTCAAAGCGGCGTCGCGCCCCGGCCAAGCAAGAGAGATCGATTGCGATGATACCGTCAGCGCGTACAGCCTAGAAAGGGAGCCTGAACACTATGCTTACTATGGAGATGTCGTTGTTCGCCTGCTACCATCAGGATCAACTGACGGCCCAAGTGCACCGCCGTCACAGGGCAACCATGAGAAGAAAGCCGATCTTTCATGGGTCGGGCGTGTGGTAGACCTGCCTGATGGCTTTGTCCAAGTCAAGTGGGGTGATGGTAGCACGTCAACGGTAATGCTATCTTCTGTTACTACTTACTAGTACCTTCCGCTATACTTGTACGTGCATGCATTCTCTACTCAATTCATTCACAGTTCTTTTGACATGAAACATTTCAGGTGCTGCCCCACGAGATCTGTGCCATCAACGAACAGAACTACGACGACCTAGAGGCCGAAATGGGCGATTGGGTGGAGGACGACGGCATTGATCCACCCCAAGAACCGGCTACCGACTACACGGTATCTATCTACACAGCATTAATCTGTTCACTGTTAGCAAACAACAGGACCTCGGTCGGCTCTATTCTTTCAGCCACCAAACATTTTTCATATCAATTTAACTGTTTTTTTTTAAATTGAGGAACTCCTTGCTCTCGTTTTCACTTAATTGAAACCCAATAACGGTGAGCTTCTCAATTTAAAAAATACTTCCTCTACTAAGAAATATAAGATTATTTAGATCACTAAAATAGTGATCTAAACAATTTTATTTTTCTTTACCGAGGGAGTAGTTAACTGAACACCCAGTTTTTTAGGGTGGTTGCAGATTTCCATTTTCTACTTGTACGCATTATGGATTCAATTAATAAAGTGATGGGACTCTTACTCTAGGAAAATGTTCCACAAAACCCAATCGGCGTCGACGGCGACCAGGATCCTGCGGGTAGAGATGGCCCTGCCGCGATAACAACAGGCCACCTGGGTTCTGCCGTCTCGTTTGTGATCGGATGGGCAAGCAATGTGTTAGCTCGAGGTAAAAGGTGTCTAGCGGATTGGTCTTCCCCGTCATCATCAGGCTCCGAGTTATCTGCAGCCGCAGAGAATGTGGGAGCTCCCGAGACGGTACCTGGTGGTGGTGACCATCCTAGGGATGGCGCCGCAAGGGAGGTCGTCGACGGAGACGATTCTGCCAGTGAGGGGAAGGAGGCTGCAGATGCTAACGGCAATGAGGAGTCATTCCATTTTCTGCATTTTGACGTAGGAGATAGCCCTCCGGATCATCATTACCTTGACACCGCGGACCAGGTATGGTTCACCAGCAAATGTTAATTGCGTTCCTGATATGCAGACAATTAGCTCTGATGTTCACAAATCCGGTTCTTCTATAGCAAAACTGCATCTGATTTCGTTGGCAAAAGAACCTATACCCACTTAGCTACGTCGAGAAAACCACGTGTCATAAGTGGTAGCAACTCAAACCTGTTTATGAACAAATAGCTACGTCGAGAAAAAAAAATAGTACTCATTCGTAAAGAAATATAAGAGCGTGATCACTATATTTGTTTACAGAGGGAGTGGTTGATTTAAAAAAAATCTATTTTAACTAAAATCATGACAACAATTTTGAACGGAGGGAGTATTATTTGTGGTGATTTTGAATGCATCATTTTTTCCTATGGTATACCTCCAAATTCCTATAATAACCACAAGTTAGGATTAGCCTTTTTCTGCAATTAAAATTAAAAGATTAAGAAGTCCAACTAACGCTCTTCTCTCTGTGATTCATGAAACGCAGGGCGACTGCCGTGGAAAGTGGGTCAAGATAGTGCAGAGAGAGTGGAAAATACTAGAGAACAACTTACCAGGTACCGGAGCTACTTTTTATGGTTTCACATGCATGTAACGAGCATGCCCTATGAACCGAATTGACTTTGTTGTGTGTAATTATGCAGATACCATCTACGTGCGGGCATTCGAGAACCGCATAGATCTGCTCCGGGCTGTCATGGTGGGCGCTAGCGGAACACCGTATCACGACGGGCTCTTCTTCTTCGACTTGCTGCTGCCACCGTCCTACCTAGACGCACCGCCGCAGGTGTACTATCACTCGTTCGGGCTCTGTCTCAATCCTAATCTATATGCCTCTAGAACAGTGTGCCTCAGCCTTCTCAACACCTTTGGCGGAGAGGGCACGGAGATCTGGTCACCAGCGACGTCGAGCCTGCTCCAGGTTCTAGTCTCCATCCAGGGCCTCGTTCTCAACAACCAGCCCTACTACAATGAGGCTGGGTACGAAGCTCTGGTCGGCACACCAAAGGGTTGCCGCAACGCTTTGCCGTACAACGAGAATGCCTACCTACTCACCCTGCGAACTATGCTCCATCTACTGCGCCGACCACCTTTGGGGTTCGAGGAGTTTGTCAGGGACCACTTCCGCCGCCGGGGGAGGTTCATACTTAGGGCATGCGAGGCATATCTTCAAGGATGCGACGTTGGAACGCTTTGTAGCGAGGCATGTGCCACCAAGAGGAGTAGCGAGCGGCAGTGCTCACCTGGGTTAAGGTTCACGCTCGCCAATCTGGTGCCAAGGCTCGTTGCGGCATTCGTGGAGATCGGTGCCGAGGGATGTGTGTAATGTTGATATTTTTGTTCTAGTATTAGGAGGATAAACAAAATGGTATTGTGCTTTTGCTACTATATGTCCAAGCTCGTGTGCTACCAAACTAGTGTTTTAGTTCAGATCAAACCAGTAGGAGAGACATGGTGGCAAGGATGGGCCCATGCCCGACCAACATGCATTTTTAAATTATATTGATGATTTCTTAAACACATACTGCTTTTATGTTAGAAATATATCCTAGAAGTAATAATAAATGTATTACTCTCTTCGTCCCATAATATAAGATGTTTTTTTGATACTAGTGTGGGATGGAGGGACTATTATATTTTCATATCCATAATTAAGCTTATATTTCGTGTTATAATTGCATTGATTCTTGAATATGAGATTCGGAGGAAAACTTAATTGCATGTGTAGAAACATAACCACCAATAGATATGTTGTCATGCCTTTAAGACTAGCTCAGTATTGACACTGATCTTGTTTTCTTGATCATGAACATTCTTACGATGCTATCAATAATGAGAGCATAGTTCTTCCTTAGACCATGAGAATATCGTACACAGAGCTCTGTGCCATAGGTTGTGTGTGGTTTTGATATTTGTTTTTGGTATTAGTTAGGAGGATAAACAAAAAGGTATTGTGTTTTTGCTACTATGTCCAAAATCATCTCCTATCAGATAAAACCACAGGAGGAGCCCGGTCCCGAAAAACATGCATTTTTTTCATTAGATCAATGATTTTCTTAAACAGAAACTATTTTATGTTCTAAATATTCTTTAGAGGCAATAATAAATGTATTACTTCATCTGATCGAAATTAATTGATGCAACTTTACTACAAATTAATTGACCCAACTTTGAGAGAATATTATATTTTTCATGTTCATAACTAAATTTATATTTTTTGTGTTATTGCATTGATTCTCGAATATGAGATTAGGAGAAAAACCCAATTGCATGTGTAGAAACATAAACACCAATATGATCCCTAGTCATGCCATCTAAGGCTATCTCATGTATTGATGATGATCTTGTTTTCCTGATCATGAACATTGTTAGGACGCTATAAATAATGAGAACACCTTGTTATTATAAAATGGAGTTGGGTAGATCTAACTTATGAACTACTGCGAGATCACATCGTTATTATGTTGTGGGCATTTTCATCTAAAGTGTTAACATTTACTTAGTTCCTTAGATCATGAGAATATTGTATACTAACATACAGATGGTTACTTTGGGGTTACTAGATATGAATAGAAGGAATTTGCAGGTAAGCGTACGTCCCAGTATCGATAGTTCAAGACTAAGATTTGCTCCTGTGATGATAGAGAGATACTCTTTGGACCCACTCGGTATTAGGGTATCATTATTTTCTGTCTTGACAAATGTGATTAAGACCACAGATACCGAAATAAGGATACGAGTAAAGAGAACAAAACTAGTAACGATTTGCCGAATTGAACGGTTTGGCCTGGAATCTCGACTATGCCAAGGTGCCATGTTGAGTTGGCGACATAGCACATGGCGCTAAAAACAAAGATATGACCCTATGCAGAGATCGTGCCGGCATTAACTACCGATCCTATTTGATCTTTGAGTTCACCATGCGGGACCTGCACGGGCAACCGTTGTCGTAGTAAAATTTAGCACATCTCTCAATACGGTCTCCTAGTGAGGTGAGTAGATCGGAGGGGAAACAAGACCAGATGTACCCAGGTAAGCCCTCCATATGAGGTGAAATCCTACTCCTGTTCGTGTTGTATTGACGTATATATAGGTGTGTGCAGAGTACATGTTACAATAGAGGGATAAGTTATTCTATCAACCAACACGACCCCGACTTTTAAAGGATACTAACACCCGAGGGTTTACAGTTTCCTAGCTGGCTACATAAGTAGAAGGGTCCACAGATCCGGCTTCCTTATCTTGAACGGTAAGGCATCTAGAATCTTCCTTTTGCAAAACTCATGGGCTGGCATGACGACCCAGGGCAAAAACCGTCCTAGGGCACCTCAAGCCGGCCTAATTGGGTCAACAACCAATAATGTGAGGCACCCCTGGGCCGTAACACCTTCAATATCTCTCTCACAATTGTAGCTCAAAGAAAAAAGAGATGAACATGACTGAATGGTTTGAAGAAAGGGATGGGCTAACACTCAAAGTCCTACTCTCTTGAATCTCACAAAGTTGCTCAAAACACTCACACCATCTCATGCACTCAAGGGGCGTTGGGGGTCTATTTATAGGCAAAGAAAAAACCTGGTAGTTACTTAGGAAAGACTAAGTAGTTCAAAAATGTCGGATAAAAATCCTCGATACTACCACGCAAGTTCAAAATTTGAACAATCGGGAGATAAATACACGTTCCCGAAATGCACGACACTTGGAGGTACTAAACTTTCCCAATAAGCCTATAAAATTTCCAAATACTCGGAGGTATCAGACCAAAAATGTAGCTCACTTATGCAAAAGATAGAACATGCTTGAAAGAACAAGACAAATGACTCTTGACGGTGTTGGAGTTATTGTTGTAGTGAAAACAAATGTTGTTTATGGGGTATATTTAGTAGTGCGGTCATAATCAATTTAGTGTTAACAAGGGCGTGCACGACGACCTAATAGTGAAGGTTACCATTGTAACATCCCAAATTTTCAATTTGGAATGTTATACAATAGATCATCATTGCAGATCATATTTTATTTGCATTTTGGCTTGATCCTAGAAATTTCACGCAACTCAAGGACCCACGGAGAGAGTTGGATATTTCGCTATTTTCATATTTGAGTTTTTCTCAAATTTTGAAAATAGGATCATTTGATTTTAATTATTTTATCTCCGAATATTTCAAATACAAAAATAAAAGAGAGGGAATAAAATGACTTTCCCAAAATAAAGAAATATTGTTGATTTAATAATAAAATCAAATAAGATTTTATTTCGGAGTTTATCACTATTTTATTTGAATTTAGGAAAATTGCACGTTTTTCAAAATTGCATTTTAGGGCCAAGAAAATGTTCATCTCGTTCTAAATATTTTGTTTAGATGGTGAAAATTTGTTTTGGCATTTTTAAAGTTTTATTTTATTTTCTAGGATATATTTTAGTTTAGGCGGAATTTATTAAAAAAAATTCCCCGCGGACCGAACTGGGCCGAAGGCCCACCTGCCCGCGCCGCCTCGCCCGAGCATGGCCGAGCCGGACTCCCGCCGGAGTCCGAGTCAGCGTTGCCGCCGTCGCCCGGGGGTGCCCCTTCCCCCAAGTCGGACGCCCCCCTTCTTAAATACCCCGCCACCCCCACCGTCACACCCCGTCCCGCCCCGCCGCCAGTCGCCCACAGCAGCAGCAGCCACCGCCGTCGTTGCCGCGCTGCCGCCACCGTGTGTCGCGCCCGCCGCCGCCGCCGCCGCCCGACCGCGTGCCACCTCCGCCGTCCCACCGACGCCTCCCCGCCCCGTCAGAGCCCCGAGCCCCGCCGGACCCGACGACGTAGCCGCCGCCACCGCCGTTTTTTAAACCCTCGATCCGTTTTTAGATCGGTTCGTCGGTTTTTTCTCGGTTTAGTTATTTAATGGACGTTCGTCCGTACGTTCGTGTTAATGAACGGTTTTCATCGTTTAGCCGTAGACATCGAACGTTCGTTCGTTAGCCTGTTCGTCCATTTTTTCTTTTTCTCGGATTTTCCGTGATTATTTCTGATCGCGATTTCTGATCCAATTTTCGTTCTAGTATAACTTTTCGCTCGTTTATCGGAATCAGGCGATTCAAGCACCTAGAGTTTCGTCTCTAATCCCTCTTTCCATTTAACCAACTCAAACAAGTTTTTGTTACTGTGAAATTTGACCTAGGTCCAGATTAGTAAACGAAGCTTGTTTCTTTCGCCGTTTGATTTTAGTTGCTTCGTTTGATTAAGTCGTGTGAACTCTTACAGTGGTAGACTAGCAGATATAGGGGAAAGTAGGTGTAACTGTCTACCCATCGTAAGGTGCAAATGCTTCTGAAAGACTATGTCTCAGTCATCCATTTCTCAAACACCATGTAGTGCGAGAATCCCAACGGAGGAGATCGAGTCTTGCGGGGGAAAAGTGTGCAAACCTCTGCAAAGTGTATAAACTAATAATGGTTAGCCATGTCCCCGGTTATGGACGTTTTGAGTATCTAATACTTGGATTATCATGTGAATCTCATCATGTTACTTTAATTAATTTTGTTGGGTTTAATGATGATGCTTAATTGGGATTGAGTTGGGTGAACCTTCTCAATGTTTAACAACCATCATGATAGTTAAATAAAAGTTATTCCTTTGTGGTAGGAAAAAAATGGCTTTATGCAAAACTGTAACCGTAGAGCTTTTCACCAGCCATATATGCATGTAGTATAGCATTATTCTTTTCATTACTCTCTATGTGTTACATTGCCAGCATATTCCATGTGCTGACCTGTTTTCGGGCTGCAACGTTCATGTTGCAGACTGTTCAGACGACGAGTAAGGTGCCTTAGGTCCTGGTCTTATACTCAGTGATGCCGTTGGAGTTGATGGACTCGCTTTTCTTCCAAGCCTTCCGCTGTTATCGTTATTAGATGGCCTTAAGCCATATTTATTGTAATAAGTTCTCTTTTGAGACATTCGATGTAATAAGTGTGTGATTGCTACTCTGTTATAAATCCTTTAAGTACTATGCGTGTCAGCATTACTGATCCAGGGATGACACTGATGCACAGAGATCAGACTATTTGAGGTCTGGTCGCTACAAGATGGTATCAGAGCACACGCTGATTGTAGGACACGACCACTAAGCTAAAGCCCTAGATCACTACTCTCTTCTCATTTCTGACTCCTCATCTTTTCTACTCTTTTAGGATGGCGGATGCAAGGAACAAGTTCACGCAACCGGATGAAGATACACCCTTTGGACGCCACTTGAAGGAAGTCACTAGATATCTGAACATTGGAGTACCAAGTTTCACCGGGACCTACATCGCCACTTTACCCGAGGAAGAGCATTGGATGA